CMCTGCAGCCCTGCACAGAAGGCAGCACAGCCTTTCCCCACTGCACACGCTCCATCAGTGCGCTCTCGCGCACATACGTTCATTGCCTTAGAGGAAGGTGCTCACAGCGCTCCGGCCCTGCTATCCACGAGAAGAACCTAAGGATGCGTGCTTTGAGGGAGCTTCCTGGCAAAGGATCTTCTTGACTGGAACTAATACCTTGATTCTGTAACACCTACAATATGTATGTTTGAGGAGGTAACACTGAATACACTGTTCCACTTCCCATGCTTAAGTATTATTTTATTTGAGCACTAGATGTAGTGATCACAGTTTGCATCCAATCAGAAATAACTCTTGCACAAYCCCCCAGAAGAAGATTTAAGCAGAAGAGTAGGACATGAATGCAAATTCAAATGCTTGACATTGAAACAAAACTGCCTCTGATTTTTATGAGCTGACTCTCCTGAGTATGTGTTTGTGATGTGAATGTGAAGCAATGTTATATTGTATCTCCTTTAACAGACTGTATTATCAAGMAAAAACAGTTATGCCAAGAGAATCCGATAACTGTCTACAAGCTAATGTATGMACGTGGGCTCTCAGCAAACCATCCTGGAGAAACAAATATGGACAACTAAACGCGCTCCTGGACACCATGGATTACAGTATTTGGATACTTCTCAACCAAAATATTTTGAAGCAACAGAAATGGACACAAAGCCTCTCCCTGTTCTGCCCATAGTATGATGAGTTAAAGCATCCTTGTGTTTTGCTTTTTGCTGTGAGCTCGGTGAGAGGCAATTTCCCTGGAGAGCTGCAGGCAGCAGGCAGGATCCCCAGGCTATGGTGCTGTGTGCACACCAGTGCATGTAACAAWTAAAGATTTGGAACCAATATGCTTAAGACCAAGGAAAAAACGGTAACATTAAGAATAAGAATTTTCTGACCTTGTGAAGAAGCTGTTCCATGTCTCGTGAATAATCAAGATGGAGTGAATAAAAAAAACAATACACCTTAAATTCTGAAGAGGAAAGCTTCCCCAGTCTTAAAAATATGAGCAGAATTCTTTTTAATATCTACACATACTATCGTTAAAATGTTTTACCACCATCCTTACCTTTGGCACATACACAATAGAACAATAATTACAGTGTCAAACTCAAGAAGATTTCTGAGACAATTAACCCTGATAGTCACTAGCAACTGATATGATGGGCAACAAGAAAGTCACATATTGAGAGAGGAATTCCAAGTACTTATGACYGTTAAAACCTGGAAATGGCAGAAGAAGAGAGCATCTAATCTATCTCTTTTGAGTTCACTCACACTGGCTAGTAAGTCCAACGGGGGAGTATAAGAAAGCTCATTGTGGTAAGGAACAGTGACTGTGTTTGAGAACACGGCTTGGGCACCGCTGACAGAAGTAGCAGTATGAAGGAATGCCAAGCAGAACCTTGGGGAATAAATGCAGTTTAGCTGTCAAACAGAGCACTGCAAAGAGCTCTCTGTGCAAGTAAGTAATACTGAATAGCTACAGAAAGCACTGATAATCAGACACAGTAATTATCTCGACTCACAGGAGATGAACCATAATGCATCTCCTAACCAAATACTTCCTTCTGAAACCTTGCATCTCAGTATGCTATCTACTGCCTCCATTAGTCCTGAAATGCTCCATGTTGTATTTGTATTTGACTTTTTCAATGATAGAATACTTATTAAAAAAATAAATAAGGCTGGTAGAATCAGAAACTACTACAAGGTGCATGGGAAACCTCTCTAAACCCTGGCCAATTTGAAGTGACWTTTGCATGAAATAATGTCAGTCTCCCTTGAAACAGAAAACCCAATTTGTGAGTGCACTTGGATGAAGCTGAACTTTCAAACTCTTCCAGGTACCAACCAGGATATCCCTATTTCTCAGTAATTGCATAAGAACAGGACTCTCTAACCTTGACTGTGATAGAATGAGAGCTTCTACTCTGTAGGAGACTGATAGCTAACTGAAACACCAATTGTCTTGTAAGAGATGAAGGTCAGAGACACAAAGAAAAAGAAGCAGGTGGGTGAGTAATGAAGATTCTTGGCTTTCATTCTTTTTATTAATTCTGAGGATGATTATAGTTAAAGTAAAAGCACTAAGTCTGCACTGCTGAGCAGGCTGTGGCAAGGATTCCTCAAGGAGACACTGCAACTACAGCTTATTTGGCTGCATGGGTACCYGTGCAGAACAGTTTAATCATCTGCATGCACCACAATTAAACACAAGCATCAGGCAAACAGTGATCTAACCTTGTCACCAACCAGCAGCTCAGTTCTGAATATTACAAGAACACTTATGCCTGTTTAAGTGCACTTCAAACATAGCTCAAGTTCTACCAGAACTCAGACAGTGGCAGGAGGGGTGAGTATGGCATTTGCTCTCCATGGAGAAAGCTCTGGAATAGCAAGTAGCAGATCTGGAAACAGCAAAGCAATGTGCTTCCAGGTCTGTGTGATGCATCATGTGCTTACTCATTCAGGGGTGAATTTATAATAAAATAGCAATGAGTGGGGTCCTAAATGGCAGGCCTTTCTAATGAAGTCATTCTTTAAGACAGGATTTTTTAATTGCTTTCTCCCAGATACCTATACAATTACTAATTTTCAGTACCAGTCAACAGTTGAATTGCTTCATGCTTGCACTGCCTTAGCCTTTGACAACTTCAGAAATTTAGGACTTGTGCTACTCTTAATAGTTAACTTCTGACAGTAAGCTGTCTTTAATACTGCCACAGAAGCTTGCAGACTGAAAATAAGGAAAAAGTTTTATAATAAGCTTCAGAATACTGAACTAGAACAGTTCTAACAGAAATGTAGCGAAAAGCAACTCACAGGTGTGTAAAGAAAGAAAAGGCAAAGAGCGCACAAAATATTTATCACACTCTCTCCAGTGGAGAAAAAAGGATGTAAAAGAAAAAGGGAGTTAAAAAGCAAAGAATAAGATAAGAATTCTTGTAGTGATGGTAGTTAATTAAGATTAGCTAACTTAAATTAGACCTTAGTTCCCCATAAGTATTATTCTTGTGCCTTTTATTTAGTGGGTCTGTCTTCTATCTAAAACCTTAGATTAAACAAAAAAAAANAAAAAAAAAATCTAGATTTAAAAAAAAGGAAAAAAAATCTCCACAGAAATTCAAAACCTAAAACACTCACAAAACTAGCTTCTTAATGAATTATTTGCTAACTCAAATTTAAACTTTCTGAAAGAGGAAACAGAAGAAAGAATTTCCCAAAAATTAGCAAAATCTTCACATTACTGTCCTTGCATCCCATCCTCTCTGTCTGGAAAGGAGAAAGATTTTGCAACACAGACAAAGATGAACCCATAGAATGAGTTCTCAGGAAGAGGTATCCCCTTGTGGTCAGTCCCCAGTTTAATTATCTACAGAGAAGTTCCATGGCAGCTGCCATCTACTGCCATAAGAATATGGGTTCAGAAGAAAAGCAGCTCATTCATATAATAGGGTCCTGGGCAGTTCAAAAATGATGGAGGTTATCCTCAAGCAGAGCAAACATTCCTTCCACCATCCTCCCATCATCCCTCAATCTTCCACAGTTTTCCCTACAATATCTCAAACTAGGCCAAGCCTGAAGAAAAGAACATTGTCCATCACGAGTGAGAGGGTCTAAAATCAGGCAGAAACATGAAGTTAACATGAAGTCTTTATCCTCAGAAAAAAAAATTAAAATTTCAATAACCAGAGAATATATACTTATTACCTATGATAGCTTTTGAGCCACAGCAATGCCTTCTACTGCACAAGAGCCTAGCACATAAATAAAACATGCTCTCATTAATGTGGTACATTCCAGGCCAACAGACAGCTTGTTTTGTYTTGACATTTTGCAGAAAGTTAACTGAATAGATTATTTTGAAGATACACATTCTAAATGCTTGTTAAAGCAAATGAGACTCTGACCTCCTTATGACAAGATATCAGCGGAAGTAGACACACTTGGTTCAAAAAAGGCATATTAGATGATTCTGAGAAGAAATCGTCTTTCCCTTCAAGGAAAGGAATAAAAAACCCAGGACTAGCAGCAGTTCTTACTAAAGGACTACTTCCACCACTTTCAAGTGAACAAGACAGACTGGGGAGTGATTGAAAATCTTACTTACGTTTAACATGAAAAAAATCAGAATTAATTTGGAATTTAAAGAATACCATAGGAAAAATTCTTTCGGTGCCCAATCCAGTAGAATTGTTGACTATCTTCAAACATGGGCATAACTCAATATATTTTAATGAATAATGACAGATAAAATCACTAGAAAAGAATACATCTTTCTTTAAACTTTGCATTACTAGTTGAAAGCTTCCCCTTGGTAAAGATGCCTAAAATATTTTCTGTATTTGTTTGCTCTTACTATCGGTCAGACATAATCTTAGCTAACACATAATAAAACATCATCTTCAAAAAATATAAATGGCTTTCACAGTAAACTAAAATAAATTTTAAACACATTGTGGTACTTAAGCATACCCAGGAGACTATCACTAGCATGTCCTAGTCTAAAATCCAATTTGCTTTGACAAGATCATGAGGTTTGGGCAGTTACTGTCTTACCCACATTACTTTGCTTTCCAGTGGGTGCATTGTCCTGGGGTCAGCACATGTCTGATGAYACAGCCCCACAGCTGATGATGGCATCCCATGCTCTGCACTAGGCTGAGGACATACCACAAACAAATAGGATACATGCCACTTGTACCTGAATTGCAAAGCCCCTTGGGCCTGGGGGTTAGGCTTCTTTCCAAGCCCTTCAAGTGCTGCCGACTCTCAGGCAGAATATTAATCAAACTTGAGGAATGCAAGGGAAAAGGGTCTCAGATCTACTCAGCCTGACTCCATGGATTTAGCAGCAGCTATGGCAGTGAAATGACAGCATGAAGAGCCTCCCAAGGGGTGTCACTGAATAATTAATTCTTTCCTTCCTTCTCCTCACTGACATGTCTCTATTTTGAATCTGATTACCTTGGCAGTCTTGTCAGGATAGTTTGGGATCATCCTTGCAGCAAAGTTACACTTTATTTAATTGTTTTTTTAAAAGTCAGACATTACCTTTTCTAAAGGGCTTTCTACTCTGGGTATGCTGATCATGGGCATCTGGGCCAGATTATCCAGATGAGAATGTTCATGTTCCGGCTGACGTCCTCTGAAGTTATTTACCACACAAACAACCTAGAAGGGATTAGAAGATAAACAGAATACCTTAGAAACAACACATTTTTTTTAAGCTTTGATCCTGACAATTATAATTAGGCAGAAATGACACCAGCTTTAGTCACAGCTTTACAGCAGAAACACTGAAATATGAAGTTCGTGTTTTACATAAAATCCCTAATTAATATTTCAAGACAAAAGAGTTTCAACCAATTTATTGGCACATGCACCATTTGAGAACCAAAAAAAACCTCATATCTAAAAGAAAATCCATTGCTGAAGCTGCAGAATAGAACACCAATTATTATCAATGTCATGAAAAGATTTCCTGCAGCCCCCATGGCATTAACCTTAAACTACTAGRAAGGCCAGTGCCATCTCAGTTTTGATCATCAAAGACTTTTTCAAATGGAAAGTAAGAAAGGGARTAAGAAGGAAATGACCATTCCCAAGTCTGAATGTAACTTCATATCTGCTCAGGGCAGCAGAAGTTCTCACACAGGGATTTAGGAATGTGATTTGTAACAGTTTTTGCTTCTACTAATTCCRACACTCAGCTGAGCAGCAATGTTTGCCAACTGCATTTTCTACAAAACACAACTACATTTGATGTCATGCTACTCAAAGGGTTTTACACAACATACATCATAAAATGTGAGAAAAAATGCTGGGACAGATTTCTTCCCTATTCTGTTCTCTTTCATCACTTTAGGGGCATGAACAGAATGGAAAAACATAAACGTGGATAACCAAATATAACTCCTGGACACTGTGTGGAAGGGAACATTTGGAAATGCAAGCAGGAGTATTTTAAAGGAGACTTGCAGCTACCCTTGCATGTCTAGAGGAGTGAAAGCACCCACCTCAGCCATCCCTGGGAGGGTTCTCAGGCAAGCCAAGTTTTCAGGTCCAAGATCTTGGGACCAAGACCTTGTGGTCCAAGAATCAAGCTCAAAAGTGTTTTCATGGGGTAAAAATTCAAAGGTGTATTTAGTGCTACTAYAAGCTGCCAGGCAGACAAACCTGCAGGTAGTAAAGAGCAATGACTCTTCTATTCTGTAGTCTTGCACTGCAGATGTTAGTGAGGGTKATTATTAGATCAGAAATAGTTTTCTGGCACAAACAGTAGTCAYTGGCAACTGTGATTAACAATCTGAATTTGGAACACAGCTCCAGAAAAGAAAGAGGCTAAACAAAGACTTTTTTGATACAGATTAATATATAGTTCAAACATAAACTTGATTCATTATGAAATAAATTCATTAGGGTTAGTGTAAAGCCAGAAAAACAAGTATTWCCTATTCTCTGATCAGTGTGGGTAGTGGGTATCACTATACTGAATTTTATACTTTATACATGAAATCATAACTCTATGTTATTCTGAGTCATACATGCTTCCTGCAAGTGGGTCTTGCTGCAAAAATTGCTGTTTTAAATGCTACAGTCTGGTTTATATGGAAGTCAAAATAGATAGCTGGATCAGTCCTTTCTTAACTTCACATTTCTGAGTGTATGTAAATATAACGAATGAAAGTGATGACTAATTAAAAAACCTAAGATAAGAAAGGTGTCTTTTGTTATTTAGTTSTCTTAAGGATTTTTTAGAGATACAAATTTATACATTGATTTTTTTCAAAAGAAGTGACACAGACACACACTTACCAAAAATACTGCTATAGATACTCCGATTACAAATCCTGCTATTACATCTGACCAGTGATTTCGATACTCTGCTACTCTGTTGATTCCAGTAAGGAAGGCCAAGCACATTAAGCCCAAACACAGAACAGGYTTTGCAAGCCTTGTTCCTCTGGCTTTCACTGTGTTGGTGATATACATCTGAAAATTAGAAAGGAAGAAAGTGTAAGACTGATGGGTATCTCCCACTAATTGATGAATGAAAGGTCCATAATTCATTTGAATGGACTATATGTATTTGCTGGGGCTTGTTTTTCTTTTTTCTCGAGAGTGGAGGAAGGGTGTAAAGAAACTAGGAAGTAGAGCAGTAAAGCCATGACACCTTTTTTCTAAGGAAACAGAAAAACAATCAGACCATACCACAAAATTATATATTTTATATTTTTTCCATGAACCTGAAAGCCTGCAGAAAATCAGGCAAATTGGACACCCCTATCCAATTACTCTCAGYCTGTGTATTTATTTATTAATGCACTGAAGTAAAAAGACTGATTTTTCACTGTGCAGTGTTGACAGTAACAGMAAAAGATCTTTACCCTGAAGTGCTATTAGTATTATTACAAGCTGCCAGGCAGAGTAAGAAAGGGAATACATAAAGATCTTGTTTTTATTAGCAAAATCCTTTCTTCCTTATACACCACTTCTTCATGTGACTAATTAGTGATTTGTCAAAAATGAAAAGGTGAAAAACAGTCAAAGAGCAGTGAAAATTGAACTAAATGCCAGCATCTACTATTATGAAGTGYAATAGTTGCAACCAGTGCTGAACTAATACAACTCTGTACCTCACACAAACCAATCTAAATGCTGCAGATTTTATGCATCACTCTGAGAAATCCATTTGCCCTGCTGCAGTGTAACTCTCCCTGTGCAGTACTGCTGAATTAAAAGCACCACCTGATAACAGAGCAGCTCTTCTGCCCTAAGAGTACATTAGTGACTACCAGGTTTAACCCACCACTTGCCAAGTTCTGATGAGCCAGTGGACGAAATACCAAATATTTGACTTTCTCTTGAATCTTGGCATAAGGACTTCTTGCAACAACCCTCCTCCCCATCCTCAAAAAAAAAAAAAAATACAACAACTAATAAGATTTTTGAGGAAAAAAGTTTCTACTCTCCGCAGAAGATGTTTCTGTAATTAAACCACTGAAATCCCTAGATCTTCAAATTTTAAACAGGATTTAGGTTTTTCGACTGAAGAATGCAAGTATTTCCTATGGAGCTTCACTAAAGATTCCAAGTTTGTAATGCCATCTCTTCGAATGCAAGGGAAAACAGATGAGTCTGCAGTGAAGAACCTCTTTGGCCAACAAATGRACAGTCTTTGGGTTTGTTTGAAAATTTTTTGTACTGTCTGAAACTTTGGTGGAATTTACCAGGGAATCAGTTTATGAAGTGCTGCAATAATCCAGCCAAGAAGCAGTTTAGGTAGCGTGATTACAGTTACAATTAATTAATTGAAGAAGTAGTGTCAGAGCTTGTCTAAAATGAGCAACATGTGACAATAATTTTGTTCAAAACACTAGAGAAAGATCCATGGCTTAGAGGATGAAATAAAGCTTAATCTTAAAATAACATCAGAGTAGTGGAACACACAAATCTTCAGTGTACTTTAYATGATGAACAGCAAAATAGTAGAAAGTTTTCCACTGATTCAGACTGGGCAAAGATCTGGAAAAAAGAGTTTTGGGGTTTATCTCCAAGCCACATGTCTCCTCTCTTCTTCCTATACCATTTCAGAAACAGTGTTTCTCCCTTCACTGACTATCCTTTTATCTTAGCTCCTTGTATTTTTGCAGGCTGTCTTCAGTGAGTTACTCTAACCATGCGGAAAGGTGATAAGAGAACTGCAATTTGAATTTCCAGCTTYTTAGCCCCACTGGTTTTCTCCAAGCTACAGACAGAGTATTCCATACTGAATTAACACAGCAACCATTTTAGTGAGGCTCGTYCTCCTGGATACTACCACCATTATCCACATTCACATTACATGTTAGGACAGCTGGTGCTAGGAAAAAGATTCGAATATTTTGAATATGCAGTAAAAAAATCAAATTTCAAACACAGCTTGAGTGAAGTTGACACAGGGGAGTTAGCAGGAATCTATCCCGCATTTAATTATATATTGTGTCATATTAAATTGAAAGGACTAGTGAGAAGAAAAAAACAGCTTGTTTAAGGCAGGTCACAGTGACATATTTCCATTATCTATAACAGCTGGTCATTGCCCAAGAAGATTATCTCAATTTTTGATAAGAAAAAACACATTACAGTGTGTTTGTATATATCAAATCAAATAATTGGTTCTGCAGTACTTCAATCAAATTTCAACATTTTTAATACAAAGCTGAACCCAAAAAATGTTCTGCATAAAATTCTCTGAATTTTYTACAACCAAGCATGTCCTTCAACCCCCTACTCACACAAAGCACTGGGGAAAAACAACCATAGATTCRTGCTGTGCCTCACATGAGTAATAGACCTCCATTTGCCAAGTCCCTTCCTTACATGAGTACTCATGGTTGTCATGCCGAGGTCATTATGCAGTAGCTCATTTTGAAAACACTGGTACACTGGGAAAAATGAACCTAAAAGTCTGAAGAAGAAAGGTAATACCTCATTGAGAGCATCTGTGTGTGGAGCAGGGTAGAGAAAATATCTGACCATAGCACTGGAACTCAACATTTCCAGTGCTAGGTCTCTCTGGATAAGTACTGAAAGTAAGCTATGGAGGCAAACACTACAAAGTCTAAATATTAGCAAAACAACTGTTTGAAAATGACTGTACTTTGCAGCAGGAGGGGAATTCTGAGTTACCATAGCAGCCACCCACTCTCCAAAGGGGGGAGAGGGGAAAAAAGGAAGACTCCAGAACTCAGATGAAAAAAGAAGCTATTGTTAACAAGACAATATGCACAGATGCTTGGTRATAAGATGTGACTGCACTTAAATGGAATGAGATAGAGGAACTAGATAGAGGAATTAGATAAAGCATAGGCTTTCTTTCTAAATGGGTTGATTGGTGAAATCACACAAGTTTAAAAGCATTTATTTCACCACCTCAGAGAGMAAGGGCCCTTGGGTCAGCTCGTTGTGTGGTTTTTTTCTTTAAGCTGGTATTATTTTGTGCACAGCTGGCTGAAACACCCAGGGAGGATTCCATAACAATCTCTCCCTCTCTCCAAAATTTCTGTTAACAAAAAAGAAAGCACATTTTGTACCAGAGATAATATGCCACTGAAATACTGAGTAATATATGGAGAACTTTATGTCCATGCTCTCAGTAACTGTCGTAGCATGGCTCATACAAAGACTAGGCTACTGTTTGAAATCTTCTACTCCAGTGAACAGTGATGACAAAACTGTTATTTAGGGCCAACTATGCTGATAAACATGACAGTGTAAGGACATGACCCCAAATATTGGAACATTGAAATTTTTTTCCCCTTGGAGTGTAATAAACAGTATTTTTAGCTTCAGTCATGCAATAAGATTTAAGGAACTAAAAAAATAAAAAAGAATTGCCAATATTGTATCAAGGAGCTACTAWGAGAACTCAAAAATCCTGAGAGTAGTTTACAGTGCTTTAGTTAAATGATAGCAGTGTCATGCACCATGCAGCAGTACAGTAATGGCATAAGATGTATTCATTTCTGCAGTTACTGAAAGAGCAAATAGTAATGAAATGGATCTCAGCTGCTTAMATTTTTTATATTGCTAACTGTATATTGACCACAGACAAGGTTTGCATAAAGTATTTTTCCTCATGTCTAAAGTCACTTCAGCAATTAAACCTTGCTGATGTCTACTCTTTGTTTTTAAAATGTATTATTACTACTTTACTTCAGCAATTAAACCTTACTGATGTCTACTCTTTGTTTTTAAAATGTATTATTACTACTTTACTTCCTGCTTTGCAGTAGCTGAACAGTTGGTTTCCTAGTTACTCTGACTCATGGCAACACTGGAAATCCAACTTTACAGATGGATGTGAAAAATAGGAGCAATTAAAATGAAAAATTCTGAGTATTTTCTAAAATAGCTTGCATCAAATTTGGAGCGTTTCAGTGAAGCAAAGCCTTAGATATCTCTCCAAATAAAGACAATACTAGTAGAAGACTAACATTTGCCTCAAGTTAGAATAGAATATTATTGTTCATTTCTTATTTGCACACAACACTTGCCTGTACCAACTGATGATCAATATCTCTTAAACAGACATTGCTCACAAGGAACCTTTGGTAAAAGTTACCATCAGTGCTGCAGATTTTAAGCAACAGGTTCTAAAACCATATGCAGAAGCACTGAGTTGACACACTGTCTGTGGATGGGGCTGGGATCTTTGCCATGCTGTCAAGGATCAGTTTCCAGATCAATGAGGAATTAAAAGTTGTCTCATTTGGTGTGTGCTCAAAAGCAATGCACACACATGTACATCTGTATGTGCAGAGCTGGATACGGACACACACACACATGTGCAGGCAGCTACTGTTCAAACACTGAGGGAATGTAAGGGATGGCTCCTGCAATGAGCACAAAGGTGCACACTCCTGCCCAGGCTCCCACTGACACAGKGAAGGCAGCCCCGGGCTCATCTGAGGGGCTGTGAGGGCTGTGATTACCAGCACAGGTCAGGTCAGACACTCCCATAGGCAAGTGCTGGCGAGAACTTGACCCCAGCACAGGAACAAAATGTGCACCTGCTTTAAGACTAGAACAATATGCACTCCAAACTAAGCCAGAGTTATTTGAGTGAGATTAACTGGCCACTCTTCCTCTGCCATGCCCCTCCACAACCCATACAACAGCTCTGATGCCAGGCAGTAAGAACTAGCTTTTATCTCAGCACTATTCATCTCTCCCTGTAAAAGAGAGAAGAGAGGGAAGAAAGGGTGGATTGTCTTGTAGCCCATTTTATTGCATGATTCGAGTCAAACTGTCGAATGAACAATGAGGTACCTATAAATACCAATTCTGGTACCAAAAGATGCACAGAGATCTTGGGAAACCTGCAGAGATCAGACAGCCTTCTGCTTCACCTCACCAAAGAATAGTTATGTGCAATTCTACTGATCTGCACTGGGTTAAATCATGGAAAGGTACCACTACCAGTCAGAGGAAATCCCTACCCTTATTCCTTATTGTCCCAAATATTCTGGAAATAGGGAAAAAGTAAACCAAGGAACTGGTTATCCTAAATCTATACATTACACCTTTTATGAACAACTTGCCATGTCTTAGCACTGTCCTGGCTTTCAAGGTTTGGAAATCACTGTACCTTGTCACAATTAAGTCCAGTGAATCATTCTCACAATAACTCACAGAATGTTTACATATAGAAAATCAGCCAATATTTTGGGCCTTATCTTCTGCCCATTCCTCCCTCCTCCCCCTCACAGTGCAAGCCATTTGCTTTCAAAAACAATGACATTAAATAGTGTAATATACTTACAGCCAGATACATAGCTGCATATATGCTTAGTGCTGCTTCTTTGGATGGGAAAGTCTTTCTGGCTTTCATGATAAGGTCTGGATTTCCAGTACAGGCATGTACGCTACTGATGAATTGTGTATACTGTTTACATCCAAGTGCTGTATAGTTGGGTTTACAAAGTGCAAGAAAATGGGGTGCAAGATTCCCTGTTACAACTTGTCCAGCATTTACAAAGATGTCCGTAGCAAACAGTCCAAACGCGTAAATTCCTAAAGAGAGAAACAAAGAGTTAAATTACCTGGCAATTTATGGTATTATAGCAATACACCAGCTTCTTCCATTCAAAAACATGCAAAATCCTCCCATGTACTGCATCCAAAAGACCATGGCTTACCCTGGAGATGACATATTCCTACAAAACTGCAGGAGCAACACTGCAACGCATCCTCACATGTGATGTYTGTCCCATCTTTCATAGGAACACACTCACCCCTTGTGCAAGTAGCCTGCTTTCCTCAGCCCCATGACCATGCATGTCCCCTGTTTGGGGTAGCTTGCATTACTTTACTTTTGCCCATGTTCACTAAACAGAAGTGACAGAGGCAAATTCTTCACCCTATAAATCTCTTGAAAATCAAGGAGGTCAGACCCTGATGCAGAAGAAGAAACTCGGAAAGTCATAACACAAACTGGACAAATATTCTCTCTTCCTTGCAGCTGTAAAGAAGYTAAAGTACTGAATAATTCAATACTGCCGTGCACGAGCTGTCTTCATCTGCCTTCCTGCTACTGGGTAAATCTATGCAAGGCATATTAATCACAGTATCAACACAGTGAGCTAAAGATTTATATATTTGAGGAGCTACTTATGCTACAGAGATTTTTTAATCAGACATATCAGCAAAGCATTAAGCACATGTACTCATTCATTAAAATGTAAATGCATGTATCTAATTATTTAAAAGAAAACAGATTTCTGCAATTCTGAGGTCCCTCTCTATCCTTTTGTAAATAGAAAATGAGCTCTGGAAGAACATGCAAGCACAGCACCCTGACCAGCAGGAAAAGCCTGTGGGTGCTTGTTCCAATTCCACTTGAGCTACAGATTTCCTCCAGTATTTCCATGGACAAATCAACTCATCTTTCCCATACTCCAAATCGCTGTGAATGCAGAGTGAATTCTGGCAAATCCAAATTTCATAGGGCACATGAGGACTTTAATGGATCAACATCACAGCAGATGTAATTCCACAGAAACATATGCATTTATACAGACGTTTTTTCTCAGCAAAGCCAGAGGACCAAGAGCGATTTCTGGGACTGTGGCAGGCCAGCAATGAATATCCCACTAATATTAATTGTGGCCAAGATGTTGGACCCTGGTGAGCAGCACACTGTGCCTGGCCAAGTCACTTCTCCGAGGGGCCTTTCAGCCAGTACCCAGGGTGTGCACTGCACAGCACAGGTGAACACAGCACTGTGAGAGGACAACAGGGAGGGATGCCTCATCTGCTACAACAGCCTAGAGGCCTTGGTTCACTCCTGCCACCCCTCCCAAGTGTTTTTGGCTTCTGTGAGGAAAGAAGGGCCCACTTAGCAGGAAGAAAACTCAGGAACTAATTATACACASAGGAACTAGAGTGGGAGGAGCTCCTGATCATCACTCCCCTCCTCCTCCAGACCTGTGCAAGGCTGTCTCCTTGTTCCAGGGAGCAGTTACACTCTGGGAAGGCAGGCACAGTTGTTCCACAAACACTGCAAATTCAGACACAGCTGCACATGCTCTCCTCCCCCTGAGACTGGGGCATACAGCAGGATTAGCTGCCCCAAGGCTTCACTCCTCCAGCTGYTTCTTTTAGATGCAACCACGGGAGAGAAGCAAACAGCAGAATTGAGCCCTGCTATGGCATCCCTGCATGTATTAAAAAGCAGCATSTGGGAATGTTCTATACACATGTGGAGTGATGACACTCCTCCCTCCAAAAACATTTGGAACAAACTAAGTAGAAAAGATGACRTTAGTGAAGTCAAAGGGGAAGGTTCAGTGTAGCACTGATGTTGCGCAGTTTTCTGCTAGAAACTATAATACAATACCCAGGCTAAGAAATCAGCTAAATCAGCTTGGCTTCAAATACACATTTATATCCCAATGTTTTCGATTTTGGCATGTGTGTGTTTACTATCACTTATAGATATGGCACAAGGATAATTGATTKTCTCTACCACACTTCAGGCCTGCTAGTTGTTTTTCCCCCTTGTGGTCTCAATTTTTTCTAACTTTATTGCTGTTTCTGCAACTGTTTTTTAATCCAAACTTCCAAAAAGCTTTATTTGCTACCTAAAAGAAAAACTGCACTTGAATTAATACTACATATGATACGTTGTATGGTTGCCTGAATATTTTCCCCAGGTAAAAATTGAGACATAATTGATCACTCTCACCAGTCAGAAAATGAAAGCAGTAATTTTGCTCATACCAAGGAATCTGATGGTCCTGCGCACCAGTGGATTTATATAACAACAGTCTCCAGTTAAAATTGTTTTTTCTTGGTTTTCAAAATCCTTTGTAGCTAACTGTAGACAAAAGACTGCAGTTTCTCCAACGATAATCTTAGGGGAGGAGAAAAAAGGGGAGAGAAATGGTACATCAGATTACAGCAAGTAAAATACACTAGTATCACAGAGACAGACATCTCATCTTAAAGAAACAAGACCAAACCAGCACAAAAGACAGCATAAGTGAATCGTGTTCTGTACATTAATCTTCTTATGAGGGAAATATGCCTTATGGCTTGCTTTACTTTATTTGCCTTAAAAGAGAATAAATTACTACAACCAGGATTTGTAGTCGACATAACATAACCTAGTTTTCAGGATGAGGGGAAAGAGAAAGAAATCTATTAGTTCAAGAACAACAGACCACATAAGGCACGAGATTTGGGCCAAAGTAAAGACCTAATCCTGGAAGATGCTGAACATTTTGGTTCCCACAYGGCATTCACTGACACTCAGCAYTTCGCAGGGTTGAGCTTTACATTTTGGACTATGGTAGGGAGAAAGGGGRAAAAAATCAMAACAGASCTCCTGTTCACATCAGAGGTTTAGTTTGCCAGGATGTACTTTACTTAAYAGGGTTTGATTCGTATTTTGCTAGCTAAATTTATCAAGTCTGGCCTTAGCTCTGTTCCTCATGCTTGAATAAAGTGTCACCACTGATATTTTAACATTAAGAATGGCCTGCTTCACATTCACTCCACCAAAATAAAGTTCTCATGTCTATATATCATTCACATTATGGCTGGCAAAAATAAACCTAAAAATCACAAAATGAGAAAAATATATATTTCAAATGTAAAATATCTTCTCTAGGGAGTGTATTACCTGTRAAACAAAGCATGACCTTTAATTTATTCACTACAATTATGGTATTAAGACTTGATAGCCAAAGCCAAGACTTAAGCAGGTATCTATCTAAAGCTACAATACTGAAGGTTTATGGCAGATAAATTGAGAAGTAGAGCAGAGGGGTCCAACAGTGACCACTGGATTCCAGCCTTGATTCACTGCAGGACTGACYGGCAAGGCCCTTTCACTCCTCTATATGAAAACCTTAAATCTTATGGGTAGGTACATCACACTTTGGTCAAGAGGAACAAAGATCACAAAAACGAAATGATAATACTACACAAATACAAGAAACAGTGCCATCAAATCTGATTAATAGCCGAGCTTTTTCTGAACCTTTGACCTAATGGGAAAATCCATATGAATCCATATGAATCTTTCCATGTATCACAATAGGTCTGAACAGTTCTACAGACAGCACTGGTCACAAAAAATATATTAAAAATCTCTGGGCATGGGCTCACATACATATTTAGTTGTCAACARGAAGGATGCAATTAACGACCTTAGTTGTTTGTAGATTATGCAGATTCCCCCACAATTTAGCCCAAGGGTAAGCGCTTCTTACAAGTAACATGACACAAGTAACAAAAATAACTCTGGAGGCAAGTGTCTAAAAAGAAAAATTTCATTTTTCACCACAATAGKCATTATCTATTACTTTAGACTGGCTTCAGATCCTAGTGGAATTTTTAGATGAAGCAGAAATTTCAATACTTGAACWAACAAATATCCTCTCTATTGTGATGCAAGCACATTTTCAGCCTACTGAAGTAGAATTTCATCATCTATAATTAACAAAATATCAGTAAACATGGAAAAGAATTCAACATCGATGTCAAGATCATCCAAAATATTGCAAGGAGAATTCAATCCAATGATCCCTATAGTTCTCATTAAAAAAATACCAAACCCTCCCAGTTTTAATATGATTCATAAAGGTGAGAACACAAACATTAATACTTGTACTGTGTGAGTCACAGTAATGCTTTTCTTTCCTCTCAAGGATTAGAAAACCTGAATACAGACAGCTTCTGTCTTTAATTCTTCTTGCCAAACTCAATAGATTTCAGCAAAATTTTCACAGATTTTGAAACTCCAGGAAAAAGCAGAATTCAGCAGAAAGGAAGCATCTGTGATATACAGTKCTCAACCTTTTGCGAGAGCACCAAGAATGCCAGCATCCTCAACTCTTCAGCTCTGAGCAGCTCTCAGCAGCTCTGAATCTGCTGATCTAAGAATAAAGGTCATCTTCTTGGATGGCAGGGAAGCTGGGATTTACTAAAAGGAGAACTGCTTGTTCAGTTATAGGAAAGGAGATCCTTACTTCCAGCAATCTGTCTTCATCAGCTGCATCTAGATCCTTGCTGCTGCCAACAATTTTTCCTTGTTAAATTTCCTGTCTTTGATGGTGACCTGTATGAAGAAAACCCTCTGTTCCAAGAACAGCAGGGAGCAGCATTCAATTCTCAGCTGAGCAAGAAGAATACTCTTAGGGCAGTCACACAGGTGCAAGGGTCAGAWGGATGCAGAATTTGTCTAAAGACAAAACTTCTGCTACAGAAGGCCTAGTGCTCTACTGTCAGAAGTAATCACAGTGGGAAATGCCACTGAGCACACAAGGCATTCATCTCTATGCTTCTGTGGATTCACTTCGATAGAATCCTTCTAGAATTTGGCAATAAATACAGGTTCTTTATTTTTCTGTACTGGCAGTTCAGCTAAAACTGTTCTCTTTCCTCCATCCTTCAGCACAAGCACRGCTCATCTCAATAATCAGCCTATTGATGTTTCAGAAATGGAAATAAAATCCTTTTCAATCTCAATAAATCACAGGAGAAATTCTGTTTCCCAGTGAAAKTCCTTCCCCTTCTTCTCTCCAGCACCACTGGCAATAATCAGCTCTACAGGGGAGAGGAAAAGGAGAGCAATATCCCCCCTGCACTTTACAACAATTTGCATGCCTAGTATATTCCTGGAAGGAGCAATTTCTATTTTCCTGCTGGCACAGGAAGCACCATTACCCGTTCCACTGCATATGTGAGTTGTAACCAGTCAACACATGACATTTAATTTAACAGAATTATTTGTGTACTTCTTCCCTAACTCTTGGGGCAAAAAGTTTTTGGAATATTCCAAAACTGGCAGTGAAAGATTATAATGGAGAATCTGAATGTTCTGACAACATAAACATCTGGACAAAACTACACAAGTTCAGGTATAGAAATATAATTTACAATGAAAAACAGACTATAATAGAAGCATCTTTTACCTTATTTTAATAGGGTCACACTACTTTAGATCACTGAACAAATTTCCCAAAGGTATGTATTAAAATTCTTAGCTCACAGATATTTTAGCAGTTGTTAAAAGCAGGGACAGTCATCCTTCCCCAAGAGTGAGGAAACCTTTTGACRTATAGCTACAGCATTTAAAGTATAAAGAAAAGAACAATTTTCATCTGAAGAATAACAATACAAAATGATTGCTTTCCAGTATTCTGAAGAACAGATGTATGAACAACTTGCACAGTCCTCAGATAAAAACACAGTGTACACCAAYGTTGCAAGAAGGAACAAGACAAGAACAATCCTTTACACGTAAGGAAGCACGTAAAAAATATTAACCCAGCAAAAATTAAATTACAGAAGTTCTTGGAACCATCCCCATGGCAATCTTATCCTGTCTGTGATGTGACAACCCATTTGACAACCAGGAACAGAATTTGAGAGGAATCAGATTTAAAATTAGTATTTCTTCTTGTTTCACCTCTTAACTCTTGATTAATGTATTAGCTGCTTGATTTTCATGGTGTTTTTATACAAGTAATAATCTATTGCAAACCACCTAATATCGGTCCCTTTTCATGCTTTCTTCTCGGGATTCTTATAGCATTTTGTACACATTCCCTACACTGATTCCTTCCTCTCAGATAAGTCCAGGTTTTTTCTGTATTAGTCATTTTTCTGAATTCAGGCAAGCTGTGCCTAGTTTTAGCACTGTGTGTCAATTTAAAAATCTAATTTGTCCTTCCCCAAATGATCCATCCAGTATATTCTTAACTTGGTTCTAAAGTCTCAGTTCTTTTTCAGCTTGAAATGTCAAGCCTGACTCATTCCCAATATTAGAGGTAGAGCAGTTCTGTCATTGTTGATTTTCCATAAACAAACTTCCCCAAGAGTCTCCTATGGTTTACAACAGCCWGAACCTATAGAAATAAATTACCTTAAATCTGCCCTTCTTAAAATAGTAATGAGGTTTATTTATGGCCTATCTTCTCATATCTATCACATAAATCCCTATAAAGCACCAGGACTCAAGTGAGAATTAAACATTCTTTTGCAAGACAAGATATAGGAGGGCACATGAATACATTTAAACAAGATAAATCCTGAAATGTAAGGTTGATAACCTCTATTTGGGATTAGGAAATAAATTTCTGTGCATACAGTCATAGACCTTTTCAGCTAACACCTACTTTGGGCTTCACAAATGTTCAAGAAATAATTCACACAGGCTAGGGAATGTCATAGAATGCACGATTCCCTCTCTGACAATTTTCAGGGTTATGCTGTAGCTACAGCAACCACTCAGATAGATGAGTAACACTCAAAAGTGATTACTGCATTAAATAGACCGCTAAATATTCATCCATGTGCTCAGATTGTCAAGTTAAGAAGAACATTTTACAATACTGTGCATTGTCGTTTCTTTTCTGACTTCGTTTCATTCATTGTATTTCTCTCATTTAGGCATGATTTGAACACTAACCAAGGCTTCTGTGAGTCATGTTCAAGAAAAAGCATTCAGGGAATGAGCATCTCAGGCAATCCAGGGCTCTGCTTTTCTCTCTAGAATGAACTTCTTCATTCTGATAAGGATCAGGAAAGAAGGGGAGGCGGGAACTGGAGCTAAAAATTTTGGGAATGATTTATATGGCTCTAGAAAAATTCTTATTCTTATTCCCTATTCATTTCAGTTATGAGTTCCCACTTATTGTGGTGTAGATCTCTTCTAAAAATATGGCTTCTACATGCATTGTTATTCCTGCTCTTTACCTTGTCTTCTTCACTTTTGACACCATGGGTTATTCCTGGCCTATTTCTCTTTAAAAATGCAATTGATGTACCAATGAGCATAGTGCCCTCAGAGTTTGGAAAATCTAACAGCATAAACCTTGGCCTTTAGTGATGCTGCAGGTAAAG